TTCGGATCCTTGGCACGTTTTGCCAAGGTAGTGGGTGGTCCCGGGAGATCTTTGATTTCCTAGGTTTACCCCCACTTGAAGGTGTACAATAGCTAGTTTTTTAATTTTAATTTAATTTAATTTTATTTTTCCGTCACCTTCTGATTGCGTTCGATCTACGGAGCACCATCCGAAATTCGCGTGGAGCCTTTTATTAACTTCGTGGTTTTTGCTTTTATGAAGCCAGATAACTGTTTTCTCAAATTTTTGGGCACCTCTGGTACTGTCATTTGGGCCCTCTCGGGGCCGAAGATGGTCAGGTTTTGAATGTCGTCAGAACAGCGATCTGGTACCAACGAATGCCTGTGTGGGCACCTTGTTCAACCCAATTTTGTGGCTAGATTCTGAACGGTGGAACGTTCTTTTTGGGCACCCGTTCAGCCCAATCCTGCTGAAGGAATTTAGCAACGACAGGTTGAAGAATAGACACGCGCTTATATCTTAGGTGGAGCGCCGAGATTTGGCAACTTTTTGCTTGCAGACTTTAGGAATCGACTACGCCTAGATAGCGCTCTTCTCACTTTAGTGGTAATGCAAGGAAGGGATACGAAGATGGGTAGAAGTGCACTCGTTTGCTCTGACCAGGGTATGCACGGGTTGATGGAGGATAGGCTGGCGGATAGAAGATGAAAGGATAGAGAAAGATTGGGTTGACGTATTACCGTGCATTCGCAAGTTATAAAGATGTTGAAGATGCTTATGTGTCTTCACTATTATGATTCCTCCTGAAGAGGTTTGCCACGCACAAGCCGAAACGCGTCAAGGGAATGCGTAATTTGACGGGGTTTGACAAACAATCTTGGTTTTTGTCCTTTGTGTGCCAGTGTGATGCTGTTCTTTTACCCTTAACTTCTTCTTCTTCTTCTTCTTCTTCTTCTTCTTTGTTCTCTCTTCTTTGGTCTCTATCTTTTTGCAAGTGCTTTCATTTCTTTCTAATTGGGTGGCATTGTCTTTCATTGTGAATTTGCACTTTGGGAAGGACCTGGATCGTAATACACATAACACTTCCACTTTATGGAGAAGGCTTGAATAGAGGCACACAGAGCAAACTTAGCAAGAAACGCAATCCGACAGACATTAGAGACTATAGGCCAATCTCTCTGCTCTTAGTAACATGTAAAATTTTAGCCAAACTCGTTGCCAACAGAATAAGAACAATAAGTTAATAACAAGGAACCGCTTCCATCTTGACCAGACTGGATTTATTCAAAGAAGATTTATACTGGATGATCTAATGACCCTTAACGAATCAGTCAGATACATTCAAGATAAAAGAATGAACATACGACCAGGTTAACTGGAACTTCTTACAACAATGCATGAAAAGAATGAGGGTAGGACCAAATCTCAGAAAATGGGGTCAAGACTGTCAAGTCCTATACCCACGGAAGAGTACAGGTCAACGACCATCTGCTTCAACGATATCAACAGGAAGACCCTTTGGAAGCCCCGATCTTTCTTTTCATGATGGAGGCCATTGCTTCCTCTCGAAGGAACTACCTCTCGATCGAAAGATTAGTGGAGGACATACAACACCCAATTAGCCTTCCCACTACCATCATGTTCGCAGACGACCTGACGGTCCTAATACGCTCATCGGACTCCTTGTTTCAAGCACTTACTAGACCCATGCAAGGATTCCAAATAGCGTCAGAGATGAAAATTAACTGGCCCAAAACAATTGGTTGGTGGCTAATAGACCCGCAAACTGACCCCCCACAAAGTGCCTTGAAGGAAATGACCTGGGCACGAGGCAACAAACCACTCAGATTCTTAGGCGGCCAAACGTCCAAATACGGCACCAACCAAGTAACGACACCGACCATAATGAATAAGATGATAGTTGGTCCAATGTTTATACTTCTATATTCAGAAGGGCTCTTATCCTGAATACATCAATCTTCTCAATGTTGTGGTACGCAACCACAATTCGGAGCCTGCCCAAACAGTGAAGAGCCCAACTGAGAAAAAGAGCAGCAGCCTATCTGTGGTCAGGGGACCCCTCCAAAGTCAACAAAGGTAGCATGGAAGTATGGCGTTCTGAAAAAATCTAAGGGAGGACTACGAATCCTTGACCCAGAAACAGAAAACAAAGCGCTACAAACAAAGTGGATTCTCAAAATGATAACTTATAAGAACTTACCTTGGAATGAATTAGGGCTTTGCATGACACAACAACTAGCTAGATACAAAACGCCTGACATCATGAGCAGGCTCTTCTGGCTCATGGCAAAATCCTCCGGGCAATGAAATGGGCATCGCAAACAATGGAGTAAGGAGACCAAGAAGAAGAGGAAGACGATTATTTTTGGAGACAATTAATGAAAACGTGGAGGGAAATCCTACCTGCCAAAGTGAGAGAACCAACAACTAAGGAAAAAGTTCTCAACTTCTCAGGCAACCAATTTTCTGTAACCAATCACTGTTAGATACTCAGGGGAAACCTTGGACCTTAATCGAGAAGGACACAAAATGGGGTGCATGGGTAGAAAAAGGAGTGTGCCAAATCAAGCATCTATGGCAGTATACAGACAAAGGATGGAGAACGGTAGGAGAACTAAAAGAATGTTTGAAGGGCTGCCACAATCTGCAAGAGAACTTAAACAATATCCTGATCGCTGTCCCAGAGAGCTGACTCCAGCTGCTGAAGGGTACATGCAAATGGAAGTCAGGTGACTGGCAACAAGAACTACTGAAAACACCCCCACCACACGGTATCAGTTCCGCACGAGGGAAGGACCAAGGAACTCTTGGCTAATCTGTGACATGTACTCGATCAAAGACCCAGGAACAACCACAAGCCTCTTAAGCCGAAAACCATCGGGAGAAATTGCCCTACCGGAACTTACAATAAGGAAAGTAAGAGTTGCAAAAAGGGAGGAGCACCGTATCTTTGAATCACTCTCGAGTATAGAGGACCTGGAAATCGACTCGATCAAAGACCCAGGAACAACCACAAGCCTCTTAAGCCGAAAACCATCGGGAGAAATTGCCCTACCGGAACTTACAATNGACCTGGAAATCGACTCGATCAAAGACCCAGGAACAACCACAAGCCTCTTAAGCCGAAAACCATCGGGAGAAATTGCCCTACCGGAACTTACAATGAGGAAAGTAAGAGTTGCGAAAAGGGAGGAGCACCGTATCTTTGAATCACTCTTGAGTATAGAGGACCTGGAAATTGACCCAGCGGAATGGGCATGGAAGAGGAAATCAGGCAGACTAGGAATCGAGAAATGTACTAACATTCTAGAGTACACCACTAGGTTGGGCTCAGGGATCTTACTTAGGTCTAGCCTGTGTCCCTAGCATATTTCCTAAAGATCCAGGTGGACTGACTGAAGTATGAGGACTGGAGTTGTCTGCCTATCTCCCACTTAGGGACATGCACTGGTATTACCCTTTTTATCTCGAGCCTATTGACATGCCCGTGAGATGGGTCCTACTTGTGGGTATTTCTATCCCTTGCAACCAGGCTAGGTGATTGTGCCACCATTGGGCAAAGTGAAGTCTGTCCTGATCTATTCTTGCTATCTTTCCTTCTCCTAGATGGTGCTTCGTGAACGACTCTATTATTCTTTCCTTATTAGCCATATTCTCCTCAATTTCCCTGTGGATTCTCTTCCAGCATCCTCTATACTCAACTTCCAGTCTTCCACTAGGTACAACACTCCCTCCCACGCTTCTTGCACTGCCATGGATGTGTGGTCAATCGTTTCTTGGCACCTGCATTTCCAAATCGTCCACAAGGATGCGAGTCTTAAAGTGTGGAAGAATATCCTTGCATCCTTGCCATGAGCTGCGCATGTGTAGGCCTAGTAGGAGTGTGACGTGAGCCGTTGGGAAGGCTTTGCTAGTGATCGAGTTCCTCGCTGGCTCTAGCTTGCTCACGAGAATCCGACAGCAATACAGCTGAGAGGAGCCACCAGGGAGGAGTCACACGCACAAGCCTTATTAAGCAGTGAACACCACAAACATATAGACAAAAGACTCGAAAAGAGTACAATCAGGCTAAATTAGGCAGGGGTGAGGGGTAATGCATCCATCCGTAGGGAAGTAATCAATGCCATCCACTCAGGCCTCTCAACCATAATGGGGAGGAGCGTGTTTGCATCATTGTTGTAGTCATTATTGACTTGCCGAGGGAATAGGAACTGGACTGTCGGTCCCCACTGTCCCACTGGGTTTAGTCGAGATAAAGAGAGGATGAGAGACTCTGAACTGAGCACCAGAGTAGAGTCCAATTCATCCTGGAATCAGTGGAATGGCAATTTTGAGAAATTGACAAAAGCTTTCTCCAAGCAGCGTGCAGAGTGTCAGGTTAATCGAGCCTTCTTGCCGCTCCGTATTCCATTGTTTTTAATAAATATTCCTGATAAAATTTCCATGGTTGCGCCAGACCCGAACCCGGACACAGTGGGACGTCCGACCGGACTGATATAAAAAATCGGGACATCAAAAAAAAAAGGGCAGTCACAGAAGGTCCACAAAAGGGGGTCGAATTGGGCCATACCTACCTTAAGGAAGTATCCAACCTCTCTCTCTCTCTCTCTCTCTCTCTCTCACACACACACACACACACACACACACACACACACACACACAAATCACAATTAGTCTCAGCTCTAGTCATCCGGGCCCTGTTTGGCAGGGCCAAAAAAAAGTTCAACAACCCCCCAAAAAACAATTGGGGGTCCAGCCACACATCCAGACCCGGACAGTCTGGACTGGGATCCGGATATCCAGATCGTAACCATGAAAAGTTCTCACTGACTAAAAAATTAACACAATGAATGAGTACTCTGGTGCTGTCAGGTAGCTCCCTGGGAAGCTGGGCTAAAGTCCTGTAGAATCGATATTCTTGAAAGAAATGTCGGAAGAACAAAGAGAAAGTCTTCCAAAGAAAGACAAAACGAAACAGAGAAGACTGGATAAATGAAAAGTTAAATGGTCGCTCTCACCTTTGTATCAAAGTCGGCAGTACTCATGTTGGATGGAAAAAGCTGTTCATCCATCAGCAAGCTCGCAGATATCCTTACCAGCTGAGCTTTTCCTTTAAGGGAGGACACAAAGTCATCTGTTGTGCGTAGGAGGAACTCCCGCTGGTATTTACGAGAAAGGTCAACCACCGTCGCAGAACTGCTTTTATTGCCGACATGCCATGCGAGAAACGTCATCGTCCCAATGAGAACAGCGAGAATAGCCTGCAATCAATCAACACACAATATGGGGTGAGCACTGAGCAAGCACACACACAGAGAGAGAGAGAGAGAGAGAGAGAGAGAGAGAGAGAGAGAGAGAGAGAGAGAGAGAGAGAGAGAGAGAGAGAGAGAG